GCATCTTAGGAGTCTTACTGCCTCGCTTCTTCTTTGTCTTAGGCTTCCCAGGTGCACTATCCTGCTTCCGAGGTTGTGTCGCCTGCTTCTTTTCAGAGGATGCGGCCTGCGAAGAATTTTGCTCTCCAATGTGAAGATTCTTTTGCAACTTCTTAGATAGACTGGCCTCAAGCTTTTGCGAAATCTCTTGCAAAAGCTTGTCTTCAATCTTCTTGGCATGCATAGCCAGAATCTCCCCAATCACAAGTTCCATCTCCATCTCCAACACCTCAGCAGTAGCAGCCTTCTTCAAATCCTCATCGCCAAGGCCCACCCACTCAATAGGTGGGCTTCTGTCAGCTCAAGAGGTGGGCGAAACGGACAAGCAGGCACCCTGCATCATGCCATGTGGATGTTGAGACTTCTCGGAACCCATTTGCGACAGGGGTTGAGGCGGGAGGTGGGGGGAAACTGAAGGTCACTTTGGTCCTGCGCACATGCGTGCCTACAGGGCACTTCCCACACAGGGACGTGCCTCCTCTACTCCCATCCAAGCCAAGCCGCCCTCCTCTGTGTCAGCTGCTAACCTTTCCCCTCATCACATCAGCGGTGCAGATGTAGGTCAGTTTCCTTTACTCTGATGTAGCTAGCAAACCTTGGTGAATCAGCTAGCACTGCCTAGTTCCAATATTTTTTTTCCATTAGATATAGTTGCTCATAATGTACAGTCAATAATATATAATACGGTAACTTAAAATCTCAATTCAGCAGTAGCAAGAAGGGTGTCAAATTTAATGACTTCCAACAAAAGAAGGGATGCTCATGAGGAATGCATGTACCACTGTGCAACCTATGGCTGCTCAATCCCTCTTTCATACCACTATGATAGAAGGGGTACCATAATAAAACACCCCATGTCCACATGCAACCTAGGGCTGCTCAATCTTGCCGGGTAGAATAGGGGAATGAGAGAGAGGAACGGTAACGCGTATCATGCGTTCTGAATTAATGGAGAACAATCTTAACAAAAGGGATCCCTTTCAGGAATTCTTTGCTTCATGATAGTCTAGTCTAGTGTGTTGGTACATTATCGTCATAATGTTTAGCAATATAAAGATGCCACCATAAAATTGAGTTGACTGTGATCCCACAGGTCATGACCACACTCATCATCCTTCCCCACGCCTTCCAACCCTTTCTCTCCCTTTTTCCCTTCCTATACCTACCTCTCTCCTCTTATCTCCTCCTTGCTCCCCCCCTCAAACAAGGTGTCTTTGGCACGATCAATCCTCCCCGCCACATGCCTTGGGGTCACAATTGCACAGCAGTGGAAGAGTTGCACTTGAAGGATGGAGCATCCGGGGAAACCACCCTTCTCCCCCTGTGTCCACCTTTCTTCCCTTTCCCCCTCAAAACAAGGTGTCTATTGTGAGAATGAGAACAAGGAATGATTGCATTCAGTAGCATGAGGAGTACAAGCAGGAAACCCTAAAGTGTTGTACCCCATGTGAACTACCCCACTACTGCCTACACAGACTATAGCATATAAGTCTAACACACCCCCATAGGCAAAGTGAGGGAGAAAAAGAGGTCACAAGACCAATCAAGAGAAGCAAAGCAAGCTCAGGGTGGATCACAACGTCACCACACATTCTGAGCACCAGTTCAAGGCCACAAGGGCAATTCACATGCAGATGTATATAAAGGCAAATAAACAATACAGTGATCACAACCTAGCAAGTGTAAGCATGCAGGTGCAGGTATATATAGATCACAGTACAAACAAAGTCAAGATGTAAGAAAGTGAGGCCCAGTAGGCACAAGACCTAGCATAGAACAGAAACGCTGATGATCACAAGGCTAAAGTGCCTTGGTAAAGATATCAGCAGTGTTGGCCCGAGAGGCCACGTAAGCAAGACGAAGCTGACCACACTGTTGCAACTCTCAATGCAAGGAAGTAGCGCAGAGCAATGTGCTTCATTCTGTGCTCCAGCCTGTGCTCCTGACACAAGGCCAGCATGGCCTTGTTGTCGACGTACGAAACTGGAGGAGAACGAGGCGCCTCTCCCAAGTCGGTCACCAGGTAGGTGAGCAAGCGTAACTCCTATGCAGCCATGGCCCCAGCGTAGATCTCAGCCTCACAACTAGAGCCGAGAACAGAAGACGAGCGGGTAGACCGCCACGAAACAGAGCCGGAACCAAGGCTGAAGGTGTAACCCTGTGTCGACCGCTGCGTAGCCAAGTCGTCGACCCAAGAAGCGTCTGCGTCACCAGTGAGGACAATTCGAGCCCGTCCTCCAAGCACGAGCCCCATGCCCGACGTACTGGACAAGTAGCGCAACACCCTCTTAGCTGCATCCATGTGCTCTGGTCTGTGTCTCCCAGGAGCAACATAGCGTGCCAAGATGCTAAGAGGGTATGCCAGGTCAGGTGGAGTGCAGGTCATCAAGTACATGAGGCAGCCAACAAGCTTTGGGTACGGGCCACTCGGCTCTACGGACTCATCCGAAAGCAGAGCTGAGAGCGAGTGGCGAGTAGACAGAGGAGTGGCCTGAGGCGAGGAGTACGTGAAGTTGAAGCGCTGAAGGATCTGCTGCACCATGTGTGACTGACTCAAGGTAATGGTGCGCCGTGCTCTGTCCCGGGTGATCTGCAAGCCAAGGTAGCTGCGCAGTTCACCCAGGTCTGTGCACGTGTGTCTCTTCTGCAGCTCCGACTTCACGTGGGCGAGTCCAGCAGTGTCAGCAGTGGCAAAGACCAAGTCGTCGACGTACACGAGGATGTAGAGCGGCGGCAGAGTCATGTCGGGGCGGAGAAACTCCTTCTCCAACACAATCACCATCGGCAGCGTGTTGGGCTGAATCACGTCGCGTAGAAGCTTCCATGCCTTCGGTCCGGAATCATCCAACTCCACCAAATCCTTGATGTGCTGGAACATGTCGTTGTTGACCGATTGGAGGATGAGGTCGTACAGCACCGCGCTCTTTTCAATCCACCGATCGCGGGCATCTCCTTCCCCCGGCATCTTCTCCTCTCCCATTGCAATTTTCAGCAGCTTGTAGCGCTTGAAGGCGCTCCGCATCCGCTCGCTCCATTCCTCATAGTTGGAGCCATCCAAAGCTTCGATCTTGGATGGTGGCGGTTCACTCCTCTTCTCAGCTGCATCTCCACTCCCTTGATTCATCTCCTCTGCTCCCAATCAGAGGTTTCAGCTCCCCCCTTTGCTGGTCACAATGCAGATCCACACAATCTTCACAAGTGTCGGCGCCAACGAAATATTGGCAGAGTTTCCCCTTGCGGAAGTCACATCTAACCTCCAGAACTCCACTTAGTCACGCCCACAGGCCATGGTGGGTCTAGGAGGGTCTTCACACTTCAGTAGACTCTCCACAAAGTCCTTAATCAGCTCTGATACCACTTTTTAGAGACTAAGGACGGAGTCTATGAAGATTAGGTGCCCAAATTTCTCAAAATCGTTGGTCTCAATTTCTGGACAGAAACGTTGACTTCACAAGAAACGTTGTCGACGAAACGTGCACGTTTTGAATCCCACGAAATTCGGATATGTTGTAGCTCTAAACCGTGGCTACATTTTCCAATTTGAATCGTATCAAAATATGAAGCATATCTCGAGTTATGCGTTTTGGCGCACTAGGGGGTATGCTGCCACAGAAATTTAACTCAATCACAAAGTTCTCACACAAGTTCACAATTACTACACAAGAGAGTTAGAGTAGCAATAAACCAGATGGGAGGGGATGAGGAGGACAAGAGGGAAGGTCCCAAGAGAGTCCCCAACCAAGGAAACCCCATGCCACACAATTCCCTTCCCCATAGGCAACCCAACTTTGACCTTTGTCACTATCCCAACCTCCACAATCCACCTCAACCCAACTTGGCCACACTTGCCAACCTGGTTTGGTTTTTCCCAACCATTTGGCGGCAACTACAGTAGAAAATACGAATTTCCCAACCCCCAAAAGTCTGTACCCCATATTGAGTCAACCTCACAACTTCCCATAGTCACCACAACCAAATAGCAAAAGCATACGAACTCCAACGTTCGTAACTTTCTTGTTCGTGCTCCGATTGAAGCGATACTTGGTTCTTCGGAAAGCTCTTGAGCAGTGGAGTCACTTCAGATATCTGCTCAAGCCAAATAACATTCACACACACTCAGAAAAACCAAACCACATCAAACACAAATTCTTGCACACGCTCACACCACGCATGCAACGCACGAACATGTGACGGGAGGCAGACAGACGTGAATGCAAATGATAGCATCACATAACAGACAATATGGGGTACAACACTTCTAGGTTTTCCTACTTGTACCCACCTGTTTGCTAGTTCATTCATTCCTCATTTCTTCACACAGGGGTGTGTCAAATGTTGTAGCCTTTAGTGATGCGTATCATATGGGGTACAGCAGTTAGGGTTAGGTTTAGGTATCCCAACCCACTATAGTGAAGAATCATTCGGCTTCTGACAGGAGAATTATAATTGCATGGAAGTTTGCGCATAACATTTAGCGATTGCTTGTAAGGGCGCTGGTACCGCTCCAAAGTCACTCGCCAAAGTCGTTGAAAAAGTTCCTGATGGTTGACTTGGCACCCTGAGTTTGTTTCAATGCCTAGTTGGATTCTGGGTAGTTGGGTTTCTTGTATGTGAATTTCGAGGGTAGTCTAGCTACTTTACCTGCTACCAGACTCTCTGTTTGTGAGTTCCGAATTGTGCATACAGCTGGGCCTTGGCATGGGAACAGGTGTATGTGAGTGGGAACAGGGTAGGGTCCAGAGTTACTATCTGCACCCTGACAAGAGGGGATAGTGGCTTGGCTTAGCTGGTGGGATGGGAGCAAGTGCGTGCTTGTGAGTGGCCAGGGTCTTGGGTTTCTTTCTGCTTCCCCCCTCCTCCCCTTTTCCCCCGTTGCACCTAGCCTCTTGCACCTTGCATCTCTTTCCGCAGAACATAAATATCCGATTCATCTGCATTCACCTCGCCCAGGCTCGATGGGGATGCGCTGCCTTCTACTATCCGCTCCCATCATCGCCCCATCCATCTGCCCCTCTCCACCCCCATCATCGCCTCATCCATCTGCCCCTCTCCACCCCCATCATCGCCCCATCCATCTGCCCCTCTCCACCCCCATCATCGCCCCATCCATCTGCCCCTCTCCACCCCCATCATCGCCCCATCCATCTGCCCCTCTCCACTCCCATCATCGCCCCATCCATCTGCCCCTCTCCACTCCCATCATCGCCCCATCCATCTGCCCCTCTCCACTCCCATCATCGCCCCATCCATCTGCCCCTCTCCACTCCCATCATCGCCTCATCCATTTGCCCCTCTCCACTCCCATCACCCCCCCATCCATCTGCCTCCACAAACCCTTATGCCTCGGCAAGTGCACCATCAACAGCAGGCTGTGTGCGTTGTGAGTGTGTTGGAGATGGGTAAAAGGCATGAGGTGAGAAGTAGGTGGGCGTCAGGCCAATGCACTCATGTTCTGCCTCCTACCTCCCCCTCCATCTCCCCCTCCTCCCATATCCTACAACAATGACAATGCCATGGCCACGGAGAGCTTAGACGATGCGCGGCTTTAAGCTCTTTACAATGGTGCTCTTTTAGTGTTCATTACGGGAACCTAAACACCACTTTTTTGAGTTCCAGGCTATCGTCTAAGCATTATCTCTGGTCAAGCAAGGTCTCTACACAAGGCTTAAATCAACATTATAAGCTACTCCATGGGGACCATCGCGATACACAGCATGCACAGTTTCCAGTTCGCGTCAATAACAATGTTTACAAATCCCAAGGTTTATCGGAGTTCGAGGGAGCCAGTTCTCGAGGCAGGATGCCATTCTCTAAGGATGCACAGGTCTCCTAGGGCATGGACCTGCATCGATTTGCTTTCAAGCACAGAAGACATAAATCGTCAACGTTTACGGTGATCAGATCAGCTTGTTTCGCGGCCACTTTTGGGCTCTCAAGCAGCTCTCATCATTGCACAATGGGGAAGGGACGCAACAACAAGTCCGGAAAGAAGGCTGCCGACGCTGTTCAGGAAAAGGAGGTGGTGGTTGACGTACTTGACGTGCCTGGGACGGATGCTGCAGACAAAGGTCGGGCTTCGACTTCAATGCCTCCTGCGGTGATTGGTCCGTTTGAGGACTTGCTGGATTTGCAGAACAAGACTAACGTTACCGCTGAATCCGGCGATGGCGATGCTGAAGGAGAAGAGGGGTCTAACAATAAGGAACAGGAGACTGACGGTGAAGAGACTGATGCTGATGCTAATGCGAATGCCGATGATGAAGATCCTGCTGACCCGGTTCCTGATGACGAGGATGATGGCTACTTGAGCGATGACTCGGATGAGCACTTGGAACCTGACTCGCTCAGCAGTGTCATTGCTTTGAAACGCTTCTCACTAACCTTGTTGGTGCCGATCCTCAGGAAAGCGGAAGTCAAACGTGCTGCCGTTACGGTCGCGGCTTTGTTGGATGACTGGAAGGAACAGCTATCTCCTGACGTGCTGCAGACGACGACTTACCAAGAACTTACAGCGACGTATTTTTTAGGCACGCGCTACGGTCGTCTGCAAGTCACCTTCAACCACGTCAGGGACGCGAACTTTGTCTGGATCCAAATCATCAGTCATGGATGCGTGAACACGGACATCATCGATCTCACCTGGCAGCATCAGGAAGACGCGCACTTTCTCCGTGAGCACGTTCTGAACCCAACGGCGAAGGAGGTTGTGGTCAAGGGTGTTCCGGCTGAGATCACTGCCGAGCTTATTCGTCATCTGCTGGTGGTGTCTAAGCTGGTTAAGCAGTAGTGGCTTTGGTTTTCACCGTACGCTGGACCCGGTCACTCGACTGGATACTGACCGTATTCGTGGTTTGATTGTTCCTCACGCTGCCGATGAGTACCGCTGGAGGTACTTTGTGAAAGACCCATCGACAGGGAAGCGTTACCTGCTTCACTTCCCGTCACTCACTTGCGAACAGCGGTCCACACATGTCTCGCTATCACGATCACTACATTACCTCGAGGCGGGAAAACTTCACCAACTGGAACCTGACGGTAAAAAAGGTTCATGAGATGAATGGTATACGTCGATCTGCTCATCACCTTCTACCCCCGCAATCCTTACCGCTTGACTCTCGCTTCTTAACTCATACTGACGGCTGTTTTCCCACCTCTCCACGCAGCTGCATCCCTCAAAGCCTCAGCACTCATGAAACGTATCCTGAAGGACCCCGCCGTTGTACTCCCCTCCACAGGAGGAATGCGGGAGGAGTGGGTGTGTGTGCAAACCGTGTGCGAGAAGGCACAGGGGAATCGTTTCGAACAAGCGGTGGCCCACGTAGCATCTGCCAGGCACAAGGGAGGGCTGCGGAAAGACGGAGCTGCTACATGTGCCAGCAAGCACTCTCGGAAGATAGCTGCTTTCAAGAAAGATTTCATCGTCAAACCAACAACGAAGTGATCGGTGGCTCAGACACCAACACTGGGATGGGATTGGATGTAGTGTCACGCTGGCTTGTGGGAGCGGGATGTGTAGTTGGTGCCATGTTCTCCTTCGCTGTAGCTGGTTGTATCGTCACAATAAAGCTTAACCGCCCGTGGATGCTGTGGGGCTCAGAGGAGTGGATTAATGGATAAACGCAACAACCTCACAGTCCTCGAGCTCAATATTACGGGCTCGGTAGCAGTGGGAAACAAGAACGATGCAGAAAGTGGATCAGGAAAGCGGCAAACATTGTGGTACTCACCGATACACGTGTCCCAGCCGATCACAATTTCTGGACGCAAGTTAGATCTAAGGCTCAAGTGGTGGTCGGTCCATCGCAGAGGGCAGGGGGTGTGGCCGTTTGGGCTTCCTGCTAGGGATGCGGTTTACGGAAGTGGTTAAGCATGAGTCTAGTCGGCTTCTGAGTCTAATGATAGCATGGCGTGATTTGCAGTGCAGAGTTGTTGCAGCATACTTACCCGCGCAAGCACCCGCTAGGGGGGTCTTCTTCCGAGATACACTAACACCTTTTGTGCAGAGCTTAAACGCTTCTCCGCACACCATACTCCTCGACGACTTGAACATCGTAGCGGACCCGAAGCTTGATAAATCCTCAAAGTTGGGAACTCCGGCGGAAAACCAGTGACTTTTGCAGATATGCTCGAGATGGGATCTGCAAGATGCTTTTCGGTGCCTTCACCCAACCAGAAAGGAATACACTTTCTTCTCAAGGTCTGCAAAAACAAGCACAAGGATTGACAGGGCTTTAGTCTCACATTCTCTGCTCAACTGCATAACGGAGGCAAAACACAGAATGGTGCCATACGGCTTAACGGACCACCGGTTTGCGGTGATGGTGTCACTCAATTCAGCATTGGTAGACGATCATGGTCCTAGGCTGTGGAGGCTTCAGGCGCCTCAAGTTGGGGGTGAAGGCGTCAAGAATATTATATCGGCGGTGGTGGATGCACAGGCGAGCCAACTGGAACAGGGCCTGGAGAGGCTGGTGACAAGCCTGCGTGCAAGCATGAGGGCTCATACAGCAGAGGAGAGGAAAAGAGTAAAGGTGACCATACACCTGGAAAGGAAGGTAGAGGAGCTCCGATGGAGGGTGATGGCAGGCCCTTCTTCACAAGCTCTGTATGAGGAGCTGGTTAAGAATGAAACAACTCTCAAGCTTTACCAGGACAGCAACAAAGAGTGGCTGCAAGTCCAGTCAGGGTTACTGCAAGAGTTGGCGGGAGAGACCTCATCGAGTTTCTTGTTGGGCTTGGTTAAGTCAAGACAGGCGAAGACGGAAATAATGGAGCTCACCTTCAAAGGGGCGCTGAGGAAGGTGCAAGCAAGGTGCTGCAAGCGGTTTTAGAACACTTCTGCGAGGCTTACGCGCCATCACCAATGCTCCCTCCCATGGAGCCGTGGCCAATCGAAGAGGGAAGGATGCTGCAGGAGAATGGTCGCTTGCAGTTAGACAAGGAATGGTCAGAGCAGGAGGTGAAGGCGGAACTCAAAGGCTTACCGGCAGGGAAGGCCCCAGGGCAAGATGGCTTGCCGAAAGATTTTTTTGAGCGGAACTGGGAGTTGCTGGGTCCGGTGGTGATGAGGGAGGCCAGGGACTTCGAGTTGACGGGTGTGCTTTCGGAGGCGTTCACGACGACGGTTACGATTCTACTGCACAAAACAGGAGACAGAGATGATTTGTCCAATTACCGACCGATCACACTACTGAGCTTCTTCTACAAACAGCTAGCGAAGGTGTTGGCGAACAGAATTAAAGTGGCCTTACCGAGAGTGATCTTGTGCAACCAGTTCGGCTTCCTTCCGGGGAGGAGTCTCGCCGATGCGCTCTCACTGGTAGCAGATGCAATAGACGCTGCGGAGCAGGAAGATGAGGACTGGCTGCTGCTGTTGGTAGATTTCCAGAAGGCCCATGATTTTGTGTCACGAGAGTACATGCTCACGACGCTGGGCAACATGGGGTTCCCGAGAAAGTTCACAAAGTGGGTGAAAGGTCTTCATGATGGTGCGGCAACCAGGGTGCTGCTAAATGGTTGGATAGGAGAGCGGGTGGAGATGGACAAAGGAGTGCGCCAGGGCTGTCCGCTCGCCCCGTACCTTTTCCTCTGTGCAGTTGAGCCACTCTGCCAAGAAATAGAACAGAGGAAGCTGGGGGTCAGGAAGAGAGGCATAAAGGGGGATTTAGCCTACATCGGATATGCAGACGATACGACATTGGTCATGAAAGGGAAGGAACAAGTGGGGAGTTTGCGGAGTTCTCGGGGTCGAGGGTGAACCGCGACAAAACAACATTAATGCCGTTGGGGAAGAACTTAACGAGGCTGCAGCCGATAGCGTGGGGAAGAACTTAACGAGGCTGCAGCCGATAGCGTCGCCTTTCAAGTGGGCAGACAAGAACACGTCGGAGCGGCTGCTTGAATCTGGATCACCTGCGGAGGGTCACCGGGACCTGCATGGGACAAAGCCTTTGAAAAGGTTAGCGCGGTGCTGAAATGCTGGGAAACAAAACACCTCAAAACATCGGCGCGGGTCACAATCATAAACAGCTATGCGATGCCGATCCTACTATTCCAGGCGCAGATTTACGCCCCACCATATGGAATCTGGACCAAGGTGCAACGGCTGTGCCACAACTTTATCTCAGGATAGACACTTCACCCTCTGAAGTTATGAGCTGTCATGCAGAGGACGAAAAGAAGGTGGTTTGGGAGTGATTGATCTAAATCATCGGGATCGATAGTGGCGCTACCTATAGCATGACACCTCGCCCGGACTTGCTCACCGAACTCGAACCGTCACCGGTGAAGCATGTCACTTCGGCTTTGGGGCAGCGAGCAGAGGTGAAAGGCATGGGGAAGGCCATGTTCAAGGGTGCTGAAGGGAAGATGGTGGGCCTCAAGAATGTGCTTTGGGTGCCCAGCCTTGCTGCCAACCTGATTTCCGTGCGGCGGTTGGCAAAGGCCGGCATGGACATGAACTCGAAGGGAGCCAAGACCTACACCGCAAGGCTTGGCGATCAAATTCTTTGGGACCTTCATGAGGACAGGGATGTCTACAACGAGATGT